TAAAGATTAATACGTGGGGACTCACCATCGCATTTTTTCTAATTGCCTTTCACTAACATTCACAGCAACCTTGAACGAACAACGTGGGCTTTTGTTTCTCTGTTCGCCAGCCAGGGACTGTACGAGGCACAGCCAGCTCTTGCTCTATAGGAGCAAAACTTTCACTATAGACCCCTGTACTGAGGTACTCCAAAATCTTTGATCCCCAAATGTCCTGTAACAGCCTCTTGGATGAGGCCCTGAGCAACCTGATCTAGTTGGAGATGTCCCTGTTCCTTGCAGGGGGGTTGGACTAGATGACCTTTGAAGGTCCCTTCCAGCCCTAACGATTCTATGATTCTATGATTCTAAAGGAAAAATCTGCTTTGCAATGTTGGAGCAATGCAATGTGAATTATTTGTGGGTGGAACAAGAAGAAAAGTTACCCTCTCTCCTCTGTGAACACCATCCCACACTGGGGCCATCCCCACGGCCGTCCAGGAGCTGCCACCTGGGATTCGGCACTGGGGTCGGCCCTGTGTTCTGCAAGCACAGCGTCTTGCCTGCTCCTCCCTGGCCAGCTCACCACAGTTTCGCTGAGGCCTCTTGAAGATATTTTTCGGGATGTGAGACTTCCTCAGAGAGCAAACGGATGATATAGTGCATTTGTGACAGAGAATAATCGACACAGCAAGGAAGGAACTTGTGAGAGGCCAGACAGACTTATGGTCCGATTCTCATGTTGTTAAATCAGTTCCCTACAACTTTCCAGTAAAAGCCTTATCGTTTCTTCTTATACTGGGTTTGCTTTTACTCTTCAGGTCCTCCCTCATCCATTGCTCTAGAAGCTAAAATTCATTTTCGTAACTGCCTAAGAGCCCCTGTTCGTGGCCAAAGACACCACTGCACTAGCACGCTCTCTTCCTTCACCTGACTATGGAACACCAACAATATCCCAAAACATCCCTGAATGCCGGGCAAAACTCCGCTGCAGGTACCAGATGGCTGTTCCTGTAAACTCAACAGGACCAGCACAAGTAAAGGAGCCTTCGAAAGCTGTTTTATTTTCATGAATGACATTTTGGCGTTTTTTAAAAAAAACATTGTACTGCGAAATTCAGACTATACTGATGTGTGATGATATTTTCTGGACGATGTTGGTGACTATAAAATCCATTATGTCATCAAAATAATGACAGTACTGGATATTTTGCCCAGCTCCAGGCAGGGGGTGGGGGAGCACTCAGAGGCATCTTGAGCCATAGGCTAAGTACAGCCTATTCCCCATGAAGGTCCCGGACCATTCACATGTTTCTGTGCCAATACCTCAGAATCTGAATGTCACTAGTCTTCTGGGTTAATTCCCAGCTCCACATGTGCTGTGGGTGGAAGCTGAAGGTTTGGAAGAGCTGCAGTGCTGCCTCTCATTGAAAACAAGGAAGAAACCCACACAGTCAGGGCCCAGGTGCCCATATATCAGTGCACTAAAAATACCCCGAGAGTGAAACCACTGAAGACCAGCCAAATGACATCTATTTCTTCCCTCTTTGCCAAGTGCTAAAAAAAGCCAAGGAAAAAAAATCCCAGCATGGGAAACGGGTTTGACCAGCTTTGTCACATTTTTGTGCTCTCTCTGCTCTCTAACACAGACCCGGGCAGGGTTTTGTCTGTCCCTTCCAGACTTTGTCAGTACCACGAGGCACCTCTGGAAGCTCTAGCCCACTGCCATTCACTTTCTCTAAACCCCTACAACAAGGCATCTTCTTAATCCATGGACCTGTCCTTGGAAGGCAGGAATAGCACAAGGACTCCTCTAGTACATGAGTGACTGGCTTAGTTCCCAGCTCTGTCAAATCACCTCGGCAATCATAGGGCTTTTCTCAGCTCCTACACAAACGTGGGCACAAGGCAGCACCTCCCAGCCTCACTGGGGGCTCTGGAGATCCACAGAGGAGGTGGCAAGGTGTCCAGATACTGTCAACACAGAGGTCATACAAGTCTTATAAATACCTTATGAACCCATAGTAAAGCTAGAGTAAAGGAACAATACGTCTCTCCTTGTATTAAATTTTTCAACATGGCTTTTTCTGTCTCTAAAATTACCTACAGGTCTCTGCAATGTCACACCGATTTCCGCAATGATTTTTTTTGCCCTGCTGGGCAGGGCTGCTCGAACCCGGAGTATCCTCTCTGCAGGCTCTAATGAGATTTCTGTTCCAAACGGGGATTAAATGTGCTCCCAGAAAAGTGAATTTTCAGGTTCTGAAATTCTGCTTTTGGACTCTGAAGCTGCCAAAATCTAGACCGTGTTTTCCTGGTTTTGCATTCTTACACATTACTTTATGGCGTGCACTAAATACTCACTGCTACAGGAAGAAAACCACTGCAAGGCGTCGCTCTGACTGAAATCTCTTGCCTTTTTTCATTTCCAAGTATCTCTTGTTTCCTTGTGTCCAGCTGTTTCGTTTGCATAGAGAAGGAGACAGATCTAGAAAACAGTTCGATAACTTGTTTGTAGCAGATGTCCTTGAAGATTTTAGCATTATGGTATCACAGCTTAGTGCAAAATACAACTGATAAGGCAAATTAACTACTTTAAGATAAATTTTTAAAAAACTGAAACAAAAATTAACAACAACTTAGAAGTATTTTTGCAGCTCAGTTTGCCATAGAAACAAATAGGTTTTTCCAAAGAGTTTTAATAATTACCAATTACAGCACAAGATAGATCTTCTCTCCTATCAGTGCAAAGCTCACTCACCAAAATTCATATTATTTTTCTTACATAAAACTGGCTGGTAATGTAATGGTGAAAGGTTTTCCACAGCAGCTTGTCATATGAAGGAAACACAAGTCTCTTGTACTCCTTCACGTTCTGAGTTCTGTAAAGTTTAGAATATGCGTTTGGATAAAAACCATTGTGTTGACTTCTATCTCCTTGTATACTTACGTTGTTATACGCTTTCAATTTATATTGATTTATAAGTAAATCAATAAGGTAATTAGACAAAAAGCTTGGATGAGTTTCTTTGCAAACGTCAGCAAAGTAAATCTAACCTTAGGATTGTAAAATCAATCTTTGATTTTTTCAAATCAACACTTTCCAATAACTTAATATTCTTCTGGAAAGCTCTGGGCCAGCACTAACTTTTCACAGACATTTTCACAAGAGCTGACTGCACGTTACCAACAGCGGTCCTTTCACCTCCATCCTTTACAGCAGTGGGCAGGCTCCTTGGCTTTCCCTGCAGATATAAAAACTACATTCTGTACCCTAAAATCCCAGGAAAGTGGCAACTTATCATTCTGTGCCCCCTTCAGTCACAGGCAGGGAGCCCGCGAGGCGGGCATGGTCACAAGAAAGCCTGTGGCGTAGGAAAGGATGGTCACAGGGTTTCACGAGGAGTGTTCTGGCTGACCAGAACGGCCTCGTTCTTCCTTTTTTTTTTAATCTGGATTCCTGGCCCTGGGTGAGGGCAGTAACTATCGGGGCTGATTTTCTTCTGCATCTAGACTGCAGATCAGAACTGATTCCTACGACCAAAACATTGTTTGGCTGTGCTGCAGCTGTGCCCCTCAGTTCATCTTCCACCCTCCAGATGAAGAGTGGGACAAGGTCTCCCATTTGCAAAGAATCAGCTCTTCCTGGCAAGGCAGTAGGGGTGGGTCCATCGCCAGCTCTCCCATCAATTAGAACACACAGGATTTCTGCCTGTGCAGCTCCCATGCAGCACACACCTGGTGTGATGAAGGGACACAAAATTTTGCTTCAGTTCCTTTTCTGTGAACTAGAAATAAATAATTTCCCCCAGATGCTGCTCTTCAAAGTTCACCTTCCCTACTCTTCGATATATCTGCATTTTAGACATATCTTTAATGACTACATTTATTAAAAAGCATTACACGCTCCTGTTCCTTTAAATAGTTCTCCAAGTGAGCTGTTGAAGATGTTTCTGTAGGAAAGTGGTTAAGTTAGCACGAGGTGACACCTGACATCTCCTGCCCCTGGGATCATCAAGTGCGATCCACGCTGCAATCTGCTGGCCCTGGCCGCACCGCTGGGAGGGATCCTGGTGACATCCAGTGCCCCCCGCCACAGCCCGGCCCACTGCACGTGCCACCTCCTCGCGGAATTCCAAGAGAGAAACTGCCTGTCGTTACCTGTGCTGCATGGACCGGGGTGACTGTCACCTGGACACACAGGGACGTGTCACCTCGGCTGGAGACGAGCAATCATCGGGCTGCAGCTGACACCCGCCTGCACTGCACTTACTGCACGGGTAGTTCAGAGCCATGTCTGTCCTCGACGGGCCCGCTGTGGTCCGTAACCTCCCACGCTGGACTGGCCCGCTGTGGTCCATAACCTCCCACGCTGGACTGGCCCGCTGTGGTCCATAACCTCCCACGTTGACATGATGATGTAAATACATCAAGGATTTACTATCGCTATTACCAACACTTTGCCAATTTGTTTTCACTTTAACTGCATTTTTATTATTCTTTAACCTTTAATTAGTGCCACGCAGACAACTAGCAGCTATGTCTTCATGTTTGTCTGGTCACTTATGTTTATTTTTAATAATATTTACTTATAAAGACTTTCTTACATATGCCTTTCATTTAGCCTGAACGACTGAAGATCATGCTAGATACAAGTCACTTCATCCTCATGCCTCATTCATGTCCTCTGTACTCGTCTGCTCTCACCAGTTTGAATTTGCTTAACGAAAGCAAAGGAGTTTAAATAATCCTGAGCACTGAATTGAGGGGCACATGCTGTGGTTTCAGACAGACTGCAGCTAAGGATTTAATTCAGGATGAAAGGCAAAAAGTTAATAAGCTGCTCTCTTTCCAGCAGGAGCGCTCAGCTTCATTTAGGCTTGGAACTCTCAAAATTGATCACAGATATTTGGCTTTAGAGATGATGATAATGTGGGATTTCTCTCCTTAAAGCAATTCATTAAATTGAATCTAGGTTGCAGACCAATAGATACCTGTTATGCCACAGTGCTCCCAGTTACATTCTGCTCCGGCAGGATACAAGCCTCACTTTCCCCAGCATGCTGCATGGTTTCTCCATGTTCCTCCATCTCGGATGCATCTTCTGGCCCCAAATGCAAGAGAAATGGGTAGCCAATGACTTCTACTCGAACAGAGTAGATCTTCATGCGCCAACATGTTCAGGCCTCTTCCATTTGCAGCTTTGCTGGACCTGCATGGATAAGCAAAGATTACAGAATTCATCTCACAGCAACAAAAAGATATTATTGATTTCAAAAGTAACCTTTTTCACATGCTGAGTTTGCACATATGCCTTGGTTTCACCCTGCTGTGCTCTGTTCCCAGAGGAGCTGTGCAAACAGCCCTTGTTGCCACTGCATACCTGCCCTCTTCCACACTGTCCCTTCAAACCGTCGGATGCAAGGCCCCCGACCACACGGGCAGCAGGACGAGACGCTTAGCCCGCAATGGCGATGAGCTGAGGATGGAGTCAGAGGTGTCTAATGTCTCTCAGCAGTGGCGAAGACTCTGGAGAGCCCCTCGAGCAAACCTGATGCTGAGACATGAACAAAAAGCACACGCACACGCCGGTGGGCCAGGGCCTGCTTCGCGCCGCAGCAGCTGGGTGCACTTCGGGGCAGGAATTGGCGCTGAAGAGGCACCTTCAACACCTTTTCCTCGCAGGGACAGCAAGAGGTCAGGTTTGATGTTTTCCTCAGGGAACTCTTGTCTCTTCCCAGCAGGCTAGTGCCTCGGTGGGAGCAGCGTCTGCCCCCCAGGCTGCTCACTCCCTGTCTGCGATGCCAAGAGCTGGCTGGGGAGACTGGGCAGCTGGGCAACGCGACCTGCTCAGGCACTGGAGTGAGACCAATACCATGTTTCACACAGACATCTTTATTTTCACAATTCTGCATGTATGCAAGAGAATGTTCTTTGTCCTGGGATGTGCTGGTAGACATATTATACCCTACAGAATAGAGTTTAGCAATTTTTTTAAATATATATATATGTACACACATATATATAGTCTTGTAAAATTTCTTCTGCATTTCTCCACATGTCAGAATGGATGTTTACAACAAACCAGAGCTAAAGGGACACTGCAAGGTTTTGTTTTATTCTTCTTATCTTTAAAATAAAATAGTGCTTGCATTTTTCTTCAACTTGATTGCCTGTTCTCCTGGTTATACTTAAGCAAAATTGCTGAAGAGAAAAAGACATGCCTATAAACTTTCCGTTTTTACTACACTGAGATACTATCAGTAAAGCAGGTAGAACACTTTTGAATTCTTATTTACAGAAGGGCCAGACTATCAGTCAGGTGTACATCACTGCACCAGTTATAAGAGCATCCCTGAATCAGTGATGCAAATAAATCACTAGCATGTAAATGTTATGCTTACAGCACAGTTCAGCAGTTTAACAGCCTCTATGCAGACAGATGTGTGTTTATGAGTCCTACTTTTAAAAGTTTCCCTGTAAATTTTTAACCTGACAGTGTCCCTCAAGAAAAAAAGTACATAGTGGGCTTAAGAAAGAACACCCTGCTACAGATATTTTCATTTTATTATTAAAACCAACAGTTTTAAAACCTTTCAACAAAACTTAATACAAATTACCGTTGGAGAATAGCATTTGTGAAGCTACGCATTGCTGCTCCGTTAACATGGCTTTAGTTATCACAATTTATATTATTTGCACATTTCCTTAGGTCTTTCATGGCACTTCCATGAAGAAGAAAAATAAAGTTGTTACGCTGCTGCTACCATCTCATCAGAGGTCACACGCAGACACAAAGATGTTTGTTCTCAACCTGTGTCACAGTCAGGCAATGCCAAAGTTCTGCCCACAATGCTTGAACCTCGGGATATCCGTACCTCAGGTTTACAGCTTGACTTGTGATTACTCACAATGATTGAACTAACAGGAAAACAAACATTGACAGCAACAGGCACGTTACATTTTTTTTGCATTATCATTAATCACATTCCTATTTTTCAACAGATTGTTGCCTAAAATGCATGTTAAAAAGGCTTTTTTTAGAAAATGCTGGCATGAAGATGCAGACTAATGTTTGTAACTAGTCAAACAGTCGGACTAATGATTCAGACATTATTTAAACATTCACAACTCTGCGAAAATTTGCACAGCTGATAGCACTGACAGATAATCTAACTGTAACTTAGAAGCCAGCATAGTAACTACCTTCCACATACTGGCAGTAGGATTTATGATGATGTGAGATTAGAGTAGCATACTATGTTTTATTCAGAAAGCTGTAGCAGTAAGTATTTGCCATAAATATTGCAAGCCCCATTTATGAGCGATGGGAGGCTTTACAAGCTTCCAAACTAACATCCACGAAAAACATAAAAAACCAACTCAAAGACATTTCCATGCAGAGTATGATTCTCTCACAGTCACTGGATCTCGTCATCTGTTGGCTGGAGCACACATGCCATATACACATATGCTGCCCATGGACAACCCAGAGGCCTTCTACACACTGGTGCATGCCAGCTTCTGGCTGGTATCCGTGGGATCCAAGACAAATGCAGGATAATAAATGGTTTCACAAAGGCAATGACTCTGCCACAGACAGAATTTATAATTAGAGCTATGTGAAAATACAACTGTTGTGTGTCACTTTGCCAGTCCTCCTAACTCAGCTACAAAGGGCTTGAAGTGGAGCAGAGAGGTAGCAATCCAGGGCCGAACACCACGGGTCCTGACTCCTGCGGGACCGAAATCAAAGCCAGTTATGCTTCGAGAGCAGAGTCAGGACCAGTGCGGCTTTCAGCGTCCTCCTGTCTGCCTAACGCAGCAGCCCCATTGTTACTGGGAGCTGGAAAACGACACTGGAGCAGATAAGGAGATGCCAAAACTACAGGGTCACTAATGGTAGTCTGATTTCAGCAATGCTCTTAAGCACACACCGAGAGTAACATCCAAATGTCTTCAGTATGTGGCCAAACTGGGGCCGTGCTCAACAGAAAGCAGTTATATACAGCCCCTATGGCACAGGCACCCCCACGCCACCCGTATGGGAGAGGCAAAGAGACACAGAAAACATAGCTGAGGCCAAATCCATCACAGTAACTCCAGAAATTAATTCAGCTTCAGGGACCCTGGTATCATGCAACTAATACCATTTTCTGTTGAAAAGAGCACATTCAAAACTTTTCAGGCTGTACGTGCCATCTCATGAATGCGTTTGGAGCAACAGTGTTAGAGGAGAAAGGCACTGTGCTAGCCCGATGCAAAACACTTGTTTTCCATCATCTCAACCACTTTTCCCTCAGCTGAGGTTAACTGCTTAGACTGACAAGACAGATGCTCTTTTGGTGTGGGGAAAAACGCAGGTTATTCATTGTATTAAATTCTGTTACTCACTAAAGCGATTGCAAGAAGAATCAAGAAGGAACAGCGTAACCGTTGTGCTTTATTTCAGCTACAACTAATGTCTTATCAAGTGTCCATTAAATAAAACCCAAACAGACAACACTGGAGAACTGGAGGACAAGGCTACTCTCACAGCATCGCATCCCTTCTGCACATCACAGCACGTTACTGGAGTTGCTATGCTTTGTGTCATTGCTGGGAAGGACTTAATTAATGGTATTTTGTATGAAAGGCAATAAACAGGATAGACTTGGGTGTCATTCCTGCATACTTCACTCACTTGAATAGCATTTTTGATGACAAATGAGCAGCTGAAAGGAATAAAATTCAGACTACATAGAAGTGTATGGAGGAGCACAGTAAACGGGGAAAATGTCCCATCTTGGGGAATCGGCATAGCATTACACTAGTACTGATCAGACCTACTGCTATAATCAGGAATACTTCAATAGATTAATTTTTTATAAAATATAGGGCTACAGAAATGAGGCATTCTATATATTTTGTATTATAAAAAGCTTCCACTTACATAATTTTTAAAATATATCTTCACTGCTAACAGTATATTTGTAATATAGTATCTGATGTAATAAAAATAGATGCTTACTGGATGGGAGCGACATAGCACTAGAGCAGGGACTCTCCTTTCTGCATGGTCCGAGCAGCTGGAAAAGTTGGCTGTTCCCTCTTTCTCTTGGTTTCTCAGCCATTGGCTGCCTGGAGACTGCAACGGCACTCAGATGGGTTAACTTTCTTAAGAGTACTCTTCAAAGCAGGCTCTGAGATGTTCCTCAGCTGACAAATATTCTACTGGGCAAAATCCAACCTCGGGGTAAATTCACTACATGATTCTTTGTTTTACTAATTAAAAAACCCAGAACCCCCAAACTAATGTTCTATGTGGCACTAGTAAGGAAATGAGACTTGTACAAGTCATGCAACTGTCTTGTAGGAAAAAAGATTTTGCTATAGAAAAAGTTAAATTACCCAAAGGGGCACATGGGCCTGGCAGCTAACTAAGCAGCTCCCAGTTAAACTCACAGGTCACTTTGTGGGTGTCAAGGTCTCTATGTGGAAACACAGCTGCATCATCTGGGCCCTTTTCTGCACTAAGTAAAACTGGAAAGCTGAAATAAATCCATAAAGCGGGCAACACTTTACCGTAACTTCCAATGGAAAACCAGAAACGCTCAAATGATGAAGCTAGGAAGCATGTGCCGAACTACACCAAAAGGACCATAGCACACGGCCCCGGTGCTGCTGAAACGCACACTGAAGAATCACTTGGTGTCCCACAATGTGCTGGGACCGTGGAAGGTGGCTGGGACCAGAACAGGTATTCGTCTTCCTGTACCAGCCCTTCGCCTTCCTGGCCTTGCAAGAACTTACCATAATTGAACAGGATTTGTTCTGTAGTTTGAAATTTGTATGTGCAACACATGTTTTGCTCTTTTCTGGCTCACCCTGACATGAAGATCCTCTAGTTAATGAGTTCAGGAAAAATTCCACCTAACTCGGCGTGGTGGCACCAGTGCACGTGAGAGGAAAAGCAAGATCTCTGCAGAAACGGGGATACTGGCTACACAGGCTGTCTGCTTGATGTCCTGGGTACATTTACCGTTCATTTTTCACAGACTGCCCTGGCGGGTTCGACTTTTGTCAAAGCAGATTAACGGCAAGGCATTCGTAAAACATTTTGCCATATGGTAGTATGGCCCAAGCTTTTCACTTGCAATAGATGGCCGAGTAAGCTATCGACATGTGC